GGGAGCCTTTTTCTCAATTGTTTTCTTGGCAGTGGCATCTAAAGGGACTGTGTTTTGTCTCTTGTTAATAAGTCATTCTGATGCTGATAAAGATGCATGCAAGCTAAGACTGCTTCTTTGTTTCAATGACATGACCATCTACCTTCGCTTTTAATTTTAAAAGCCTTCATTGGCTTGACTTGACTTCTTCTCTTTGGTAATATCTTATTAAAACCTGCTCTTCAGTTCTACCTTCTCAAATTATACGTAAAGTCTCAATTCCTTTTACCAAAGGGAAAAAACAGTACAACCAAGGAAATTCACACAACATTTTAGGCACTGCATTCAAAGAGCTGAATTTGGCTAATGTCAGTGGGAACGGTGTCAATCCCCAAAATATGTATTATGTTAAATTCACTGTATTTGTTTTTATTACATGTGAGCTGCTGTTGATAATGATTGTAATAATTTTTGTTCACATATTCCATGTGCATTATGGCAATGCGGAGCTTCAAAGCAATTAATTGGAGTACAAAAAGATAAAATGTCTTGCTAATCACATACAGCATGCCAATGGCTCAAGCAAGATTAAGACTTAGAAACATGCAGGTCCTCAGACCTGTGCTGTGTAGATCACACAGCCTGCGGGCATCTTAAAGCTGCAATAATAGCAAGTGAAACAGAATCACTTTATATTACTTCAATCCACCTTTGGAGTGCTGTAATATAAAGTGTATAGCGTTGTAATACACAGACTGCATGTTAAGAAAGGGTTATGGGAACTTCATTCAAGGATAAGAGAAGGTATTTGAACTGGAAGAGGATGTTAGTAGCTGGTAGCAAAACACGCAGTAGTATCTCTCTCCCTCCCTCCTCCTTCCCCCATTTCCTTTGATTCTGCAAAGCAGTCAAGTATGTGCTTAAACCTCATAGACGAAGAGGGACTGAATTGGGATGGGTTTAAGCAAGTGCTTATAATTGGGTATGTTGTTTCTTGTCCTTTGCTTACTATGTTTTCTCCTAGATGCACACAGGCAAAACACAACCTTTCAATTCCATTTTTTTAATGGAATCAAACTAGTTTTAAACTAAAACTCAGCATTCCCTTGGAAATTGGACTCCATCATTGCATGCCACAGCCTTCAGTATGCAGCCTGAGCTGCAAGGCATCCATTACACCCTTGTAGATCAGGAGTAGATCCACTGATCAGGTTTGCATTTAGGCTGATGTGGCTGATCATCAGAGTCTGGGATGAGCTCCTGGTCCCACAAAGACTAATGATGCAACTACTGTTGGCCTCTCTGGGTCAAGCTCTCATGCTTGGTTTCTAGTTCCTGCACGCGGAACAGGGATTTGGAACCAGACTGAAGAGAGCAGCCTGTGTCCTGATCTGCAGTGACTTACCTCTGTCCTAGGAGAGGCACCAGCCAGCGTCAGTCTGTGAGAGTTCATCTTTTACATTTAGGGACAGAGCGAGGCCAGCCAACTTCTGCACGAATCTTCCAGAGGCACTGATATCAAGAGGCTTCTTTAGCATCCTCTTACCCTGAAAATTGTTCATAGATGCTGAGTAGCAAGCCTAGAAACCCAGAACATGAGCAGCCCAGAGAAGTCATTTGGCAGATGGGGAGTCCAGGGTGAGATTCTGGTAAAGAGTTGGCACATGATGCTACGCACAGGTTGGTAGTAGAAAGTGGCCGTGTGGAGCTGTTACATTGTTCCTCCTGTAGAAAGGGAGCCTTCCTTTAACCACTGCATCCATTTGTTCTATGGGTACTGGACAGAGTGCCCTTCCGTCTTCTGGGGAGGGTTCCTTTTGCAGCTCTCAGTGTTGTGTAGTTCTGCCTCAAAGCCAGTGAGGAAAGGAGTGGAAAGCAGGATCTGCAAAAAGAAGGATGCATCAGAATTTGTCTACGGGTCACTGTTCTTGGAGGCCTAGATAACTAAACACACCTGAAGCCCAGCTCCTGGAGCTCATGTCCTAACACAAAGCAGTCTGGCAGGAGAAACTTAAGCTGAGTAAATAATCACTGTGCTGGGTTTTATTGCATTCGGTAACTGGGAGGTCTGCTGAAACCCAGGACTTTGTAACCTACTTGATGGGGAGAGAGGAGGCAGCAATCTGGAGTACAGTTTTGGCAATTGAGCTAGAAAACGTAGGCCTCGGTGTAGCTAAATTCCTACACCTGGCTGATGTAGATTTTAGGAGACCAAACTGAGGATTTTAAGGCCACTAACTTTATTTAAATGAGAGTCAGAGAAATAACATTGGAGGTTATTGACCGCAGATGACAGCTGAGGTGCCCTACACTAGAGCTGATCAATAGCAGCACTGTTTTGGTGGCTGGTAGGAAAATATAAAGCTGGGATTGAGTATTACTGGGGCAGTAATGACAAACAACAAGCTGCTTTCACAGGCTCACCAGACCTGCACGGTTTGTTTTGTTTAAGTACAGATCTGTGGTGCTGCAAACATGGGATTAAGGTGACTCTGCAAGCTTGTAAGGCACAGCAAGACCAAGCGCAGAATTATCTTTCAGCCTCCTATGAGCAAAGACTGGCTCTTGCAGTCTGCAGTGAGTGAGAAAGGATCAGCTTTCTGAGGTAGGAAGATAGCTCAACAGCTTAAGTGCATATCTGATTCCCTAGCTGTGCAGGTACATAAGTGCAGATGAGATGGAAAATGCCTGGTGTAAATCTGTCCTGGCAAAATTAGATGAAAGTCACCATTGTCTTGTTGCATTTCACACTTGCCTCACAGAGGTGCAGATGATTGCGAGGAAACAATCTACTTCCCTCGCCTGTTCTGACTCTCCTGAGATTTGGGGCTAAAGACAGGGCTGTGGGTTTACCAGAGCTGAATTTTGAAAGCTCAGCACTAAGCTGCTTTTGCGCCTCCACTGTCATATGAAGTAGCACTAAACTGTGTTACTTTCTGGCTCTCAGTCTAGCTGCACGGTGTAATTTTTTTAAAAAGTCGCTGGAGTGCAGTGTCTTAAAGACCATCATGATGTATTCCTGGTCTTCAAAAGCCTTTTGATTCCTAGGTGGAAAGAATTGTCATTGCAAGCTCACTCTGTGTTTGAGCTGGAGCTAGGTTAGGATTGCAAGGGAATTCTCCTGTCATGTTCTCTGCCTGGATTTGGGACACTATATAAACTCTTGCTTGGTTGTGATTATGAGTGCTGTTGGGCCCCTGTCTGCACCCTCCCAACTGGCTGGATACTCAGCTGGGCCTAGGACTGTGCTAGAACATATGGAACAAATTGCACATGTGGCGAGCAGCTGACTTATGAATCATCATTGGCTTCATACTGCCAAGCCAAAAGGCATGGTCAATTATTGAGCCCTAGAGGAATATACCTGTCTATATTTGAGCTTTCCTACCTCTTTCTCAGTCCTAAGACACCCCTCCCCTTTTCCCCACTGTCATCCATGGCAATCTGAACAGCTTCCCATTAGGAAGATACCTGTCATGAGAGCCTGGGGAGATTGAAGGTACTGGTTCACATCCACCTTGAACTCCACTCCTGCTCAGGCTGAACAAAATGGAATTATGAGCAAGACGGTAAAAATCCAGCTCCTTGCAGTGGGTCTGTGCTGATTTCCAGGGCTTCCCACACTACAGTTTATTCATAAATAAATGGATGGTGATTGCAGCCACCCCACTCCTCCTTCCTTGGCCTTTATTGGTGGGAGCGTTTGACTGTTGCCATGGCAGTGTTGTACGAATGATGTCATGTCCCTACCCCCTGCTGAGATCACAGCCTGTTGTTGCCATCCTGGCTCTGATCACACTCTGAATGGTAGAAGCTGTCCCTCGGCAGTGGGTGAAATGAGACAGATGGGTGCGTTTGTGACAATATTTCCAGAACTGGTTGTTCTCTCATGGCTTCTTACGCAACTGTAACTTAATTGGCTTCAACGGAGTTGCCAAAGAGGGGTGATGACTGGGGCTGTGGAGTTTTTTGGCATGCTTGGGGCTGGGACACCAAAGGAAAGGATTCTTCAGAGGGGGAACTAGTACCTGGCAGAACATGAGCGATGGTGGCCTTGGCATGGTTTGACAATCAGACTATGGACTAATGCTTCTGTAGCTAAGGGAATTGTGTTCAAGTGCAAAAGCAGACCAACGTCCTTCCTTCAGTAAGAAGAGTGGCAAGTGGGTTCTGCGCTAATGAGTGGCCCTAGCTGCAGCCAGGGGGTTTGGGCACCCGTTGCCAAAGCTGTCTTTTCCCATGTGCAAGGACGGGATGCCCAGGCACTGGGGAGTGGTGAATATCCCTGGGAAGGGAAATCTGAGCCCATGGAAGGTGGCTCCAAGGCTGGTGCTTCCATGGGCTTGCTTCTCTTAAGAGGTTAAAAGGGTCCAGGACTCGGTCAGCTTCGGTATGATTTCCTGACTGCAGTGTAGAGAGGACAGCATGTTCTGTGACAGAGGAAGGAGTCTTTTGTCTGGTGGGCAGAGGAGGGGTTGCTGGTCCAAGTCACTGAGAACAACAGTGTCCTGGTGATGATGGAGGGCCACCTTAGCTATCGTTGTGCCTGGCTTTGGAGTGACATGGTGGGATGGTCTGTCCCTGCTGCATGTGCACTCATGGCAGTCATTGGGGAAGGCCTGAGTAGGCTTGGGGAACCAAAGACCCAATCCTAGAAGTAGCCATCTGCTCTCTGGCCTGCCCCAGCCTCACAGACAGAGGGGATGGCCTTAGCTTTTGTTGGGGGGGGGGGGGGGGGGGGGTGTGGGTCTGTACAGTAGTTTGACCCACCCTATTGGTACACTGTCCCCTGCGCATGAAATGAGGCCAGGATCTCCCCAAAAGCGATGTGATGCAAAATGGCTTCCAGAAATGTAACTTCCATCCTCCTGTTTTGCTGGCTCCCCCTTCCTTAGAGAGACTTCCGTGGTGGTAGTGACACCTAGTGGTAGAGGCAGAGCTGACAGGCCAGCTTAGCTCAGGCTCTGCGTTCAAAGCAGCAAGAGATGCTAGTCCTGGCTTGCAGAGAGCTGGCTGCCTTTCCTGGTTAACGCTCCATGCCTGTCTCTTCCATTGCAGGAGGCTACGAGAGGTTTTATTCTGAGCATCCAGAATTCTGTGTGAAAACAAAATCCCTGAGTAGCATTTCCCCACCAGCCAGTGCTGAGCCTTTGGACCTGGGATGTGGCTCCTGTGCAACACCCCTGCATGATCAGGTAAGCTCCTTGGCACCTAGTGTACTGAATTCCTGGGGGCATCCATTTGCCTGATTTCTGGGTTTAAAGTCCCCTCCCATGCATTGAGCCAAACCCTCGACGTCCCAACTGTCCAGGTGAGGAGGCATTGTCCAAAAAAGCTGTTTCAAGACATTGCGTCCCTATTAGCTCAGCAAGCTGGAACACTTGCAGGCCATGTGATGTGATACATGCAGTTCTCTCTCTCTCTTTTTTTTTTTTTTTTTTTTAAATTCCAAGCAGAATTTTTCTTGTAAAATGGCATTTAGTCAGGCATTGCCAATGCTTTGGAAGTGGTTCTGAGTCCAGCATAAGTTTCCTGCTCAAAGCAAGAGGCATCCAGACCAGTTCTGTCCCCACAAACACTGGTGGCTAGAGCATTCCCTGGGGTGGGAGAGGACCAGGCACTTGGGATGCTGAAGTTTCCACCTCCCTCATCCTGCTTGAGGGCTGTCATTCTCCCTCCCCAGGGAATATTGGCCTATTTTTATGAAGTAGGTCAGCTTCCACAGGAGAGATGGGCAGAGACTTGCCCCTGACTAGTCAATGAGGCAGGTGGAGAGAGTGCACAATTGGCATCCGGCCCCTGGTTCAGAGTGGGTTTGCCTTGCTTCCCTCCCCTGCCTACTTGCAATAGGAAAAATCTTTGAAATCTCTCAAGTTCTTCCCAGTAGGAGATGTTTCTTCCTAGCTCTGGTGTTTGTGTAGATATCAAATTCTTCCAGTGGTGTAGAAAGGAGCCTACATAAGCCACAGTAGCGTGCTGGCTATAGTCAACTAGCAAGAAAGCTGTCTGCATGCAAAATTGGGCTGTCGGCTGGAGAATAAATAGCGCAATGACTTGATCCAAAATGGAAAATCAATACCTGCCATTTGAAAACAGCCAGGCGGCACAGCACCCCTTTGGAACCGTCTTTCCTCCGTGTCGTGTCTGTGGGTCCATGTGCCAGAACTCCGTTTACCTCGTAAAGAGGCTAAATTGTTTGGAGAGCCCACACCTGCTAAGCCATATCCTCATCTTACTTGGGCATTGGGGTGGATCTGAGGGCCTCGTTCACTTCTGCCTGCTGTGTTTTTGCTGTCTGCTGCCTGTCTTTCAAATGAAAGGAGCCTAAAACGACAACTCCTGCCTCATCTCACATTCTCTGTCTGTTCATCTGGTCAGGGAAGCTGGCTTTTGTGTTTTTTAGTTGAATAAACATTACTAACCACATTCTCTGGAAGGGTTTTTCAAAGCAACTTACTCTCCCATTTGCCTATGTTTATCTCCCAGAAGAGGACAATTCCAGGGCCTTCAGAAGCTCACAGATAATAATTTGGAGGGCATTTTCATATAGATTTGGGCCCAATCTCTTAAATGTGGTAGTCAGTCCCAGTCCAATAGGTAGTGGGGGTATAGGTTGGCTGCAGGCTTGGACCCTACAGCTCTAGTATGGAGATGCTGCCTCTTGTTTGTTATCAAGCGGCCCTTGAAATGGACCTGGTGTCCAAACAGCATGGAGAACCTACCGTTTGGATACTGAAGCCTTGTAAAGCATCCCAAGGTTTAGGTATAGAGGCCCTCAGAACCTCGCATCACTCTCTTGAAGATATGGGCCCTACTGAGACTGTCAGATTTTGGGCGGGTCTGGTAGCCATGCTCATCCCAACTCCGTGGTTCCCATCTCTTCCCTTCTGACTAGCAGTGCTCTTATCTTCTCTGTCTTGACCCCAGCGTTTGTTTCTCTTTGTCTGAAATAGGGTGGCCCTGTGGAAATCCTCCCCTTCCTCTACCTTGGCAGCGCATACCATGCAGCCCGGCGGGACATGTTGGACACGTTGGGGATCACAGCCTTGCTGAACGTTTCTTCGGACTGCCCCAATCACTTTGAAGGACACTATCAGTACAAGTGCATCCCAGTGGAGGATAACCACAAGGCTGACATCAGCTCCTGGTTCATGGAAGCAATAGAATACATAGGTAGGTTTGTATCATGGCCTGGGAGGTGTGGGGAGAGGTGGCGGAAAACCTGGACACAGCAAGTCTGATGCATAAAAGGATTCAGTGACAGGATTCAGTCCAGTGCTAGTTAATTGCATATTGTATGTAATGTGTGGCAGTGGCTTGAGTGGCAGGAGCGAGCTACTTACCCTTCTCTCCCTTCTGACCCTGTAGACTCAGTGAAGGACTGCCATGGTCGGGTGCTGGTGCACTGTCAGGCTGGCATCTCACGCTCCGCCACCATCTGCCTGGCTTACCTGATGATGAAGAAACGAGTGCGGCTGGAGGAGGCCTTTGAGTTTGTCAAGCAGCGCCGGAGTATCATCTCCCCCAACTTCAGCTTCATGGGTCAGCTGCTGCAGTTCGAGTCCCAGGTGTTGGCGACATCATGTGCTGTTGAGGCTGCCAGCCCCTCAGGGACCCTACGGGAACGTGGCAAAGCCAACTCCACTCCAACCTCCCAGTTCGTCTTCAGCTTCCCAGTGTCTGTGGGGGTCCGTTCCACCCCCAGCAGCCTCCCCTATCTGCACAGCCCCATCACCACTTCACCCAGCTGTTAGCCTGTGGTGCCAGCTAGGATGAGGGTGACAGTGGTGTCACAGATGCCTTTCGCAGGCAAGGACACTGACCAGGTTGAGCTGCCTGGGAACTGCCAGCTGCAAGGCCATAAGAGCCAGAGTGAACCGCTGAATGGCCAAGCAAAACTCCTTGACCAAGAGCAATAATGGCTGACTTTGCCACTGGTTTTGGACTACGTGTGTGTGAGTGTGCGCGCATGTGTGCGTGTATGTGTGCATATGTCTTTGTTTTGTTAGAGAAATTTCTTACCTCATTTTCGTTGTGTGTGTTTTTTTGGTTTTTTTTTTTTTAAAGCAGGAGGCTTGAAGTTGTGAAATTCACAAATCCTGACAATGTGTCTGACCAGTTTTGCTTGGGAGAAAAAAGTACCATTTCCCAAAGTGCCTGGTTTTGATTTTTCCTGATTTCTGCCCCACCCCTCTTAAAAAAAAAAAAAAAAATCCTCCCCTGCCTCCCCCAGGGGAAAAAAAAAAACAAACTTTTTTTTTTTTTTTTTTTTTTTTTAACTCGGGCAAGGGGATATTTATTGCAAAACTATTTCTTCCAGTTATTGAATGCAGCAATTGTGCTACTGGTGACAATTGTAGAGCCTATTTATCTTGAACTATGAGCACAACAGCAGCATGCAGGTTTCATGCAAGTTTCAAAGTAACTAGAGAACAAGTTGGTTGCTTGCGTGTCTGTGCAGACTAGTGCAGTGACAGTGGAGCCATCTCCACTGGAGGGACGTGAGTTTCCTTGAGTCTGCCATAACACAGGCTGGGGGAGGGGGTCCCTTGCTGGGCACTGGACTTGTAATAATAGGATCACTTCAATCACGTTCCCTTGCTGGACACGGGACTTGTAATAATAGGATCACTTCAATCACTGCACTGCAATATGGACTTGTTCCACCTGAGGATCAATGTGTGGACTTAGTGGGTAGCGTTTAGTCCTAGTGCCCTGTTTCCTTCCTTGTCTGGCTGGGTACAGCTTTGTAGTCATTTATTTTGAACTAGACAAGGTTGATTTGTTTGCTGTGAAGTGCTTGTGTTGTTGCTTTGCTACATGCACCATGCTCATCCGGACTACTGCGTATGTCTGAGCATGAGGCAGGTGGGAATTTATGGGGTAAGACCCCTGAATGCATGCTGAAAGGCAGTCCTCTGGCCATAGGGTGTGAGGAACATGTTGGGAAGCTTGGGTCTGAGGCACAGTGGCAGGCTACATAACTTACAAGCACCTGTGACTAGGTTCCTGCACTTGAACAGAATAACCCTTATAGTGTGAGGGGTTTTCTTGTGCCGCAGTAGTGCCCTTTCACCACTGGAGAGCATGGCTCCCTGTGTCAGTGCTGGTGTCCTGCTCTTCTCAGGTGGTCATTTCCCAACTGTCAAGCATGCTGTGTGATTGGGTGGTATCCTTTGCTGTGCCCCCATGCTTAAAAGCCATGATACTTGTAATGCCATGCTAGAAACACCAACTGCTGTGCAGCAGTGGATCCACCCTATGCTCAGACTTGGCCTTTCTGATACTGTATTTGCTAGAACTGTGGTCAATAGCATTCTTGTGCCACAGTGTCACTAGATTCATTCTAGCTTGCAGGTTACTACAGCAAGGAACCAACCTTTGGTTCATTAGCTTAATTCCTGTTTGCTTTAGTGAGCCCCAGATACGGGCCTTGCTCTGTTCCCAGTAGCAAATCACAATTTCCCAGCCTAAGAAGCTCAAAAACTAAGCAGAGAGGGGCTGCAGCTGCCTTGGCCACTTCCTCTATAGGAGGACAGTGGAAAGCCTGTAAAACACAAGGATATCTTTCATATGCTCCCCTTTCTAGCCTACATCACATAGCAACTTATCGTCTACTTAGTGTTGCAACCCATGCTTACATACCCACCAAAGGAATGAAGTGTTGGTTCCCTCTAAGGGAAAGAAGGCAGCTCATCTCTTGCTTAATGCTGATGTGTTAAATGCAGATATTTCGAGCCAGTTTCAGACTGGGCAATCAGGGTGAACCCTGAAGGTATTTAGGTTCTTAAAAGGCCTGCTGCTTCTCTTATTTTTGCATGTGCAAGTCTTTTGTAATGGCAGCTTGGAACTGTGAGCCACACCAAAAAAGAGCTTGTTGCCTGGCAGAAGCTGGTAGCTGCTGGAATACAAGGTCTGTTGCAAGATGCTGGCTGGATATTAACAAAACTGCATTGCATGTGATTCCACCATTGTGCAACCATCCCCATGTATTCAGTGACCCTTTTTTACCAGTGAGGTTCATAATAGTTCCCTGCTTATCAAGTACCACTGCCCATGGGCTGAAGGAGTTCAGGGTCCATGGGTGAGGAGTCGACCCAGATGAGCCACAGAAGACCCAGAAAACAAATGCATCTGAGCTGTCAGGTAGCTTGGTCTTTGTCCTCTTTGCAGTTTCTTTCATCCAGGACATGCTGAGCACCATGGCAATAGCAGATAGCCTGGGCTGATGCTCACTGGGTAATGTCTGCCAGTCAACTTGTACAGCATGTTTTTAGCATCTCTTCCATAGTCGTCTTCACCGTGACAGGACAGAAGGACCACTAAGAAGTCCAATAGAGAAGCAGAAGTCAGTGCCTGGTTGTGTGTCACTAATGTCATGGGGACTATTAACAAGCTAGCCTTGTGTGCAGTATTTTGCATACAAGATACATTGACACTGGGCATTTGGAAGCTTCCATTGCCTAGGGCTTCCTCTTCTAAGGGTCTGCTTAAAGCCCAGTGCAGGTGAGGAGCATCTTTCACCAAGTGTGGAACTGGGCTGAATGCAGACGGGACCTCAGGTTAACATGTGAGATCCTAAATATTAATGTGCTTATCAAGAAGCCGGCAGCCCCCACTGGTGCTGCAGTGTTCGCTAGGGGCAGGTCTTTGTGGCCTAATGCCCCCAAGCTCTCTGCACACAAACTCTGCTGTGCCTGGATATGCAAATTGCGTTGTAGTATTTGTGGGTAAGCATAGGCTCTTCTGCTGGGAACAGATCTCCTGTCCAGCACTTTAAAACAGAAGCCCCTGCTGGGAGCACTTGTGGCTGGCTTGGATGTTTGCACAGACTGCCCGTTTCTGGCCAAGATGGCTACTGATGCTTTGGGCAGGGTCGCCTTCCTGAGTAAGAGGAGGAAGAGGCTTTGGATCCAATTCAGAGAGTAACGCAATATTCTCTTAACTCCTGTGCAGAGCCTCATCTCTCCACATGATCCAGTTTCCACACAGGATGTGTGTTTTATGTGTTTGTACATAGATGTTTGGTTTTTTAGAAGTTGATGTTTTTGTTTTTATTTATTGCCTGAGAGAGAGTTCATTTGGAGACAAATAAATGCATTTTCAGCAGGCCTGTTTCTTCTACTGCTCACTTCCTCTTTCACCCCTAAATTTCAAAGTTCTTCACCAAGGAGCTTGATGTCATGGTTAGGCATACAAACATAATTAGTGCCATACTGAGTCGGACCAAGGCTCCATCTAGCCCAGTATCTGTTGCCAACAGTGGCAAGGATGGATGCAAAAGAGGGAAAGTATTGGACTGGAGCTCTCTAGACAGATCTATCCCCTATTGAACACCCTGTCTGGTATCCAATATTACTGGTTTAGGGACATCAGAAGAAACTCTTCCAACCATCATTGTCCTCCCTGGTCTCCACCATTACTGGTTTAGAGATGCCAGAAGAAACATCCCCAACTGTTCTGTTCAATAGCCATGAATAGACCTGACATCCATGAATAATGCCTCACAAATCTGACTTGAGGCTCAGGGTTGCTAGAGTCTCCTGTGTTCCAGGTGGCAACTGCTTCCCACGGAGTCTAGGCAGCATGGTCACAAACGGTCCATCGCCAAAGCAGTCGGGGCAGGAAGACGTCGGAAGGGCTGATACTGAGGTCTCTGGCAGAAGCTGCATGGATGTTTTTCCAAAAGTTGTACTGGGGCAGGATGATGAGGGGCAGAGTGCAATACTGCCAAAGCATAAACAAGTGATATGAGGAGTGGTTCTTCCACCCGCCCCAGAAGGTATTCCAGGGGTAAGAGGAGGTTGTGATAACTTGGAGCATGCCTCTTAGCTGACCTGGAATAGACCAGATCAGGCTTCCTGCAGCTGGAGTTGGGGGTGCTTTGCCCACTGTTAATATTTCTGGGTGCCTCTTTCAGCTCGAAGCATCCCAGGATAACCTCAGGTAGGACTGAGGGAACGTAAACAGACAAGGCTGGGAACAAAAAGGCTTGCCTCCCCACTCCACAGCAATACAGCAAGGCACTCACCTGATACCTTTATTGATGGGGGGGGGGAAAGGGAGGGTAGAACAAGGAAGTCATAATACACTTTGAGCAAACATAAACAATCAGAGTCTTATACAGTCTTATAAGATATAATAATCCTTTTAACATATTTCTGCCTAGACATAAATCCTAACTCCTGGCTAGCTTCCAAGTTTTTACTTACAGGAACAATCCAGGCTGCAGCCCGGAGGCACTTTCCTTGTGGCTTTTCAAAATGCCCGCCAGAGGAAGAGGGCACTCCCCACTCCCCTCAGGAATTTATCTGGCCAAGTCACCTGGTTGACCAGCCTGAACCAAATAGAAAGCAAGAGAGAGGAAGAGGTCCATCTGAAATGACCCAGGGGAGGGACAGAGAGGGAGCTTTCTTCATGTAGGGTTTATAGCATGAAGTAGTTTCCACTTCAGAAAGGGTTGCAGACTTATGATACGGCCCCTAAAAGCAGTTCTGCCAGCTCCATCAGCAGCCAGCACTACCGCTAGCAGAATCAGGACTAAATCTGTTCCACTTGCAAGTCCTGCATGTTGGGTTTTGTTTGGCTATGGTTCCCAACCCTCAGTTCCCCTGTATCCCACCCACCCCCCCTGCAATTTTCCTCCTCCCATTTCCCCCTCCACCCAATTCTACCAGTTGGTTGGCCATGCTGCTATCCTGTGCTGCTGTGTACTCTCAGAGCAGGCTGCTCTAGTGCCCTCTCTGACCCCTACTGCTTTCGAGTCATGGTGACCAGGCCTCACCGCTCCCTTGAAATTCTAGTCCAGGCCAGGTGCTGTCCTTCGCTGTTAGGCTGCCCCAAGGCCCAGGGGCCTACCCTGGGAGTCCGGCACCACCACTTCCTCGGCAAGTGAAGAAAAGCTCTCATAGAACTTGCAAGGATGCTGCCTCCTAGCATCCTTGTGCTCTACAGCTAAATAAAAGTACAGAAAACCTAGTGAGGAGCAGGGTAGGGGAAGCACTGAAATCAGCCTCCCTGGGGCATGTGCTCCCCAGGGTTGACATGCTAGTACTTGGTTAAATTGGCATTTTTAGATTCTAATTCCCCAGTATTCCCCTTCCCCATGTCTAGGAGGATGTACATGGATAGTGCCCTGCACTTGGCTAAACAGAGCTGCATGACATGGCCCAGTGTCTCTGCACTCAGCTGTTTCTGCCCATGAAGAGGCTTTATCTAGCTGGAGACAATCTGTTACGTGTCTCCAGCTGTCTCAAGCCCTATGCAGCTAGGAAAAAATGTAGTCATGCTCCAGGCCTGCCTACAAGGATTTTGCTTCTTGGGCAGGAGAAGCTAAGTGGCCCCTGCATGCCTGGGGCTAGGTATGGGATATGGCCAGCTATAGGCAGAGGCCAGAAGATAAGCAGAGCTGAGCCAGGCACCAGAGAGAGAGGCAATTGTGGGGGAGCCCAGGGGAGATTAGCTCAGGGTGTCCCTTAGGGTATGTACACATGTACTAACTTTTTGACAGTTAGGCCAACTTAACTTTTTAAAGTTGACTCAACTGTCAGAGCAAACACACGTATCTAGAACAAGGTCAGTCTGAG